CCAAAAGAGACACTTTTTCTATAGAAAAACTCTCTCCAAAAGAGACACTTTTTCTGTAGAAAAACTCTCTCTACAAGATACATTTTTTCTATACAAACACTCTCCCTAAAATATACAGTTTTTCTGTAAGACCGTTTTCCTAAAGAAAACTCTCTGCAAACAAGACACCTTTTCTATAGAAAAACTCTCACTACAAGAGACACTTTTCTATACAAAAACTCTCCCTAAAAGAGACACTTTTTGTATACAAACACGTCTCTCTAAGAGACAATTTTTATATAGAAAAACTCTCCTCTAAGACCAAACTTTAGCAATTACTAACAAACAAAAAAAAAAAAAATAAAACTAAATTAATTAACTTTAAAGGTCAAGGTTTTTACACTCACATTGCTAATCCAATTAAACATTCCACATAAATAAAGCTCTCCTAATACCGCTCCTGCCTAATCTTCTTTTTTTTCGCCATTTACTTATTAAGTATGCAAACATTTGATTTTATTTTCATAACTCTGTGTGGAAATTTAACTAACAGTAGTAGCAGCATATAGTTAAAATGAAATAAATAAAACTTTTCTATTATTTTAAGTTTTATTTTTGCGCTATTTGAATGAACAAAAATCTAGCAAAAAAAATCCCTTATTTTGGTACAATGCACACACAAACATACATAAATTTACACAAACATTGTTGACTCAATAACCGTCATAATAATGAGTCTCTAGGAGTAAAAAAACGAAAAAGTTGAAAAACAAGAGAGGAGAAAAAAAACTGAAAAAGTAAATTTAATTTTTTTCTTTTTGGAAAATAATTTACTACAACTAACGCAATTGGAATAAATTCCCACGCCAATTGGTGAAAATAAACGTAATGGATGGAAAATATATCAGAAGTGTGGCATTCGGTGGTGTGGAATCATATACATATGTCATTTTTTCTCTTTTAGAGAGAAGTTACCCTTTAGAGAGAGAGTTTTTCTAAAGAAAAGGTGTCTTTTTTAGATAGATATTTTATAAAGAAAAAGTGTTTTTTTAGAGAGACATTTTCTACAGAAAAGGGTCTCTTTAAGAGAGATATATTCTATTGAAAAAGGGTCTCTTTAAGAGAGATATTTTCAATAGACAAAGTGTCTCCTTAAGAGAGGCATTTTCTACAGAAAAAGTATCTCTTTAAGAGAGATGTTTTCCATAGAAAAAGTGTCTCTTTTAGTGAGACGTTTTCTATAGAAAAACTGTCTCTTTTAGGGAGACATTTGCTATAGAAAAGTGTCCCTTTAAGAGAGTCATTTTCTATAGAAAAAGTGTCCCTTTAAGAGAGTCATTTTCTATAGAAAAAGTGTATCTTTAAGAGATACATTTTCTATAGAAAAATTGTCCCTTTAAGAGAGACATTTTCTATAGGAAGACGTTTATATAGAAAAAGTGCCTCTTTTTCGACGTTTTGTATAGAAAAAGTGTCTCTTTTAGAGAGACATTTTCTATAGAAAAAAAGTATCTTTTAGAGATATGTGTTTTTAGAAAAGTGTCTCTTTTAGAGAGAGAAATTAGAAGAGAAATTTCCTATTGAAAAAGTGTTATTTTTAAAAAGACATTTACTATAGAAAAAAGTGTCTCTTTTAGAGAGACATATTCTATAGAAAAGTGTTTCCTTTAGAGATACGTTTTCTATAGAAAAGATGTCTTCTTAGAGATACGTTTTCTATAGAAAAGCTGTCTCCTTTAGAGGGACGTTTTCTATGGAAAAGATGTCACCTTTAGAGAGACGTTTTCTACAGAAAAAGGGTCTCTTTTAGAGAGATACTTTTTAACAAATAAATATCTCTTTTATAGATTTTTTTCTATAGAGAAACATTGCTTCTTTAGGAGAGAAAATTCCTATTAAAAAGGTATGTCTTTTTAGAAAAACATTTCCTATAGAAAGTGTTTCATTTAGAAAGACATTATCTATTAAGTTACAAACGGTTTATTAAACTAATTTTTTATCCCTTTCGCCTATGATGGTGAAGGGTATGAAAAGTACTTAAATTTGAAAACAAAATGAATGAAACCCAGAAATAATTGCTCAAATAAAAACTAAGTAAAAAAGGGTGAAAGAGGAAATAGAGAAATATATTTGGAATGTTTGTATTTGGTATGTAAAAACATTCTTTTAACCTAAAATTTTCTCAAAGAGTTATCGATTAAATAAAAATTTAGTTTTTACTTGTGAAAGGGAAAAATATTTAATATTTATTTAACAGGAAAAAAATTTCAATAAAAATAGTACTTAGAAAAGTGGTTTATAAAAAAGTTTTTAAAATATATTTAAAAGAAATTTTGTCTTTAATGTTTTGAACAAACTTTTTTTTCATCTTTTTTGGCTTTAATTAAAGGTTTGCTAAAGTGGCCATTAGTAAAACTACTTAAGCAAATAATAGTTAAGATATTTTTAGGCGATTTATAATAATAGCCTAAGCATTAGTTTAGCAGTTTATTCTTTAGCTGCATTTTATTTTTGGGCATGAAACCAATAAAGATAAGAGTTTAGTTGCTATAATTAATAAAATTTCATTTATAAAATATAATTTCTTTAAATACCCCAGATTTTTTTATGGCAACTTTACTAATCTTTAGCTTTTTATTACTTAATGAAAAAACAAAAGAAATTAAGTAAATTAAAATTATTAAAATAAAGTTTTTATGTCAGAAATTTCTGTTTCAAATTAATATTTTTGGCCTGATACATTTATAGCTTTTAATTTCTTCATAATTTAACGTTTATTTTTACAATTACTTATTACTGTTTTGCTTTAAAGAAGAAAAACAGAACTTTTTAAATAAAGCAAAGAACCTTAAATGTCAACTTGCGTCAGAGGGGAGCCAACAACAAAAAACAACATTTTAAGCTGGCGCCTTAAATACTAAAATGACTGCTAAATATAGCAATTTCCAAACATATTTAATTTGATTTATTGGAGAAGCTGTATTACAACAAATCACATAAACTGTTTTATTGACTCTAAGACAAGAACCCTTACTACTGTAGGAAATTAAACAGATTTAACGATAATTTTCGTTTGTAGTCAAGAAATAAATATTTTATTTGCTACTAAATTTGAAAAAAAAAAAACTTCCCATTAGCATCCGCTAATCAATTTGTATAACAAATTATGTAGAAATTGACATATGTGACGTATACTTAATATTTAATACATTGTAATAAAAAAATATTAAGTATACGCTGTGACGTAGTTCGGTTTGTTATAAGGCCCAGCTTTTCTGAGATTTCTCTTTGCAGAGAGGTTTTCTATGGAAAAATTGTCTGATTTCTATACAAAAGTGTCCCTTTTAGAGAGTCGTTTTCTATAGAAAAAAGTCTCTTTTAAAGAGACGTTTTCTATAGAAAAAGTGTCTCTTTTAGAGAGACGTTTTCTATAGGAAAAGTGTTCCTTTTAGAGAGACATTTTTCATAAAGAAATTGTCTCTTTTAGAGAGAAGTTTTACGTTTTCTATAGAAAAAGTGTCTCTTTTAGAGAGACGTTTTCTATAGAAAAAGTGTCTCTTTTAGAGAGACGTTTTCTATAGAAAAAGTGTCTCTTTTAGAGAGACGTTTTCTATAGAAAAAGTGTCTCTTTTAGAGAGACGTTTTCTATAGAAAAAGTGTCTCTTTTAGAGAGACGTTTTCTATAGAAAAAGTGTCTCTTTTAGAGAGACGTTTTCTATAGAAAAAGTGTCTCTTTTAGAGAGACGTTTTCTATAGAAAAAGTGTCTCTTTTAGAGAGAAGTTTTCTATAGAAAAAGCGTCTCTTTTAGAGAGACGTTTTCTATAGAAAAAGTGTCTCTTTTAGAGAGACGTTTTCTATAGAAAAAGTGTCTCTTTTAGAGAGACGTTTTCTATAGAAAAAGTGTCTCTTTTAGAGAGACATTTTCTATAGAAAAAGTGTCTCTTTTAGAGAGACGTTTTCTATAGAAAAAGTGTCTCTTTTAGAGAGACGTTTTCTATAGAAAAAGTGTCTCTTTTAGAGAGACGTTTTCTATGGAAAAAGTGTCTCTTTTAGAGAGACTTTTTCTATAGAAAAAGTGTGTCTTTTAGAGAGACGTTTTCTGTAGAAAAAGTGTCTCTTTTAGAGATACGTTTTCCATAGAAAAGGTGTCTCTTTTAGAGATACGTTTTCTATAGAAAAGGTGTCTCTTTTAGAGATACGTTTTCTATAGAAAAAGTGTCTCTTTTAGAGATACGTTTTCCATAGAAAAAGTGTCTCTTTTAGAGAGACGTTTTCTATAGAAAAGGTGTCTCTTTTAGCAAGACGTTTTCTATAGAAAAAGTGTCACTTTTAGAGAGACGTTTTCTACCGAAAAAGTGTGTCTTTTAGAGAGACGTTTTCTACCGAAAAAGTGTGTCTTTTAGAGAGACGTTTTCTACAGAAAAAGTGTGTCTTTTAGAAAGACGTTTTTTTAGAAAAAGGTGGCCTTTTTTTATTGAAGAAGTGTGTCTTTTAGAGAAACGTTTTTATTGAAAAAGTGTGTGTTTTAGAGAGTGTTTTCTATAGAAAAATCGTCTATTTTAGGGACAGTTTTTTTTATTGAAAAAAGTGTCTCCTTTAGAGAGCCGTTTTCTATAGAAAGTGTCTCTTGTAGAGAAAGATTTTCCATAGGAAAAGTGTCTCTTGTAGAGAAAGATTTTCCATAGGAAAAGTGTCTCTTGTAGAGAGAGGGAAAAATTTGGGATTAAATATTATTTTCTAAATCTTTGTTAAAACGATTAAATAATTACGTTTAGTTATGATTTATTTAAAACAAAATTTAAACTTTTATTTTTAAAATTTCCTAAAAAAATTCCTTATCATTTACATTTACCATTAAGTTATAATGCTAAAATATTTATAACAAAACAAGAATTTAAAATACAAAAAAAAAGTATTGAGTATTCTTTTATGTACTCACCTGTTTTAAATATTAAGGATACATTAAAATGTTTTTTGTTGTTTTAGCTGCTTTCAAGCTGATTAAAATATTTATGATGATAATGATGTTTGTTTATTTTTTTGTTAAGTAGTTAGTTAAATAAAAATTTAAAATACATTTAAAAACTGTTAAGTCTGGTATTTATTATAACTTTTTTTAATATTAAAACTATTTTTTGCTGGCTTAACTAATTCTTTATTATGGTATTTTTATTTAGTTATATTTTTTTGTTATTAGCGTAGTGTTTGTTTTATACTGCAGCGTTTATACTTTCTTTATAATTATTTTAATTTTGTTTTAATTTGAGGTTTATTATAATTTTCATATTTTTTTTCCTTTTGTTATGTTTCCTTATGATATTATTTTAACATTTTTTTTTATATTATTTTTAATTTCAATTGCAGAGTAGTTGTTGAATGAACACAACAACAAAATAATAATAAAATTTGCGTTTTCTTTTTTTCGTTAGTTTAACAGGATATACGTTCATGTTTTAGCACATAACTGTAATAAACATCTAACAAACAAACATACAATATATAAGTTTGTATGTCTATGAGTATAGAAATGTGTGAGTGTGTGTGTTGGTATGTGTATAAAAAAGTAGCATGCTTCCTTTTTAGTGCATGCTTGTTAAAAAACAAACATACTTTTTAATACACAGACTTTTAAATGTTAAGGTATATGTGTGTATATGTGTGTTTTCTGGTTTGCATGTGTTCAAAAAGGGAAAAATGCAACATGCAGGCTAGGATATTTAATAAAATAACCCCAAACATTCTCTCACACATATAAACGAAAATACCGTTACATTATAATTTTATACTTTAGACAATTATAAAAACAGAAAAAACGTTACATATTAAGTCTGCATGTATGTAGTATGTTCTCCCCTTATTAAACTTTTACTCACACATATACATTTTTTTAACTTTTACACACATACATTCCTACACTCACTTATTTGAAATGTTTTTTTTTTCCTTGTATTTTTTTAACTTCCTTCCATTTTAACCAGAGAAAGAGAAAGATACGTTTCCTTATTTCATTTACATTGAATCAAAAAACAATTTTTTTTATTGTCGTTGTGTGTTTTTTTATGTTCATTTTTTTCATTCTTCTTTTTTTGATTCCGTTACATTAAGAGAATTTTTATTGTTACAATTTATTTGGAGACTTTGACAACGTGTTTTCCTTACTACATTTTTTTCTACTTTTTGTTTAGAATTTAGTTGTAAAACTTGTATGACTACTACGTTTACAAGTATATGTATGTGTGTGTGTGTTACCTAAATTAATAAAAACAACAACAATTATTATAATAAAATAATAATATGTACTAAACAAAATTACGTTACGTGGTAACTTTTAGCAATGGTTTGTCAATTTTTTTTTCTGCTATTTGGGGGAATTTTTGGAAGAGTGGAGGCTAGAGTACTAGGAGGAAACCAAATTATCTGTTTTTCTTAAAGGAATGAGTTGCAAAAAGAAGCATAAATGCAACAAGATAGAAATTTATATATTTTAAAGCAAATATAGTTGTTATTGGTTTTGTGGACGTTAACATCTAACAAAAGTAGTTCAGGAATCATCAAAGGAAAGTCTGTTAATTGTCTGTTAAAGAAAGTCTTTATAGTTGTGTAGAGAGTTTTGACACTTTGGCTTTTAACATTAGCAGTGCTTCCAAATTTGGCAAATTTAAAAAATAGTTGTAACAGAAAGCCATGAACTACTGCTGGATCATTAGCTTCACATACAGACACAACCTTTCCTTAAGCATGTCAAGGGAGACATTCCTATATAGTTTCGTTTAGTTCTGAAATATGATTGTGCTTCGCTTTCCCAAGAGTTGAAATTCAAGGAAATAGAAGTTAGAGACGTAAAATTTATTCCCATCTGAAGAGCAAAAGGAGATATTCTTCGCAGAACATAATTTATATAACCATCTTATTAACCTGATGAAAGCTACAGGAAGTCAAGTCAGATCACGTTTCGTTGCATTCCCCAGACCTAAATGAATCATAGAATGGCGAACATCTCTTAATGAGATTGGGAAACATTATATAGAAGGGTTTTATTGATATTCGTGCCATCAACAGATACCAAATAATACAATTGATGATTTTTTTGCGGAAACTGTAAGCTGACTACCAAATTAAGAGACCGGTTTGTTAGCATACCAACTCTCCAGTTGTAAGCACTCGATTTTGGATAGTTTCCACTAAGGTAAACTACCCAGGTAGTCAATTAAGGCTTCCTGCAGAATAGTGAATACTATGTGGCCATGTAAAGCCTTTCTAGAGGTAAGTTAAGGAATGCATTTGCAGTAGTTACTAATCACTGGCCTTATGGGCTTCATGTCAGGATATTAAATCTTTCAAGAAACGACTTCTTCGGAAGCGGAAGAGGAAGAATAGGATACCAACCACTTTCTCTATTACTGCGTGATCATAGCTAAACACCATAGGCAACCATTTTCCTCAAGACCAAATGGATTTATCCAAGATGAACTTCCAAAGATAAACTCCTTTATCCATGTGATATTCCTACGTGGATAGGACCTCCAGAGTGTACTAATATGCTGATCTTTTCTGCCTAAAGTTATCTTAAAGGAAGGACCTTCAATCAGTAATGATTAACATACATATCTGGCCATGGAATGACTACGAAACTCCAAGCAAGTGTTACAATACGCTACTTCCGAGTTCGTGATTACGTTCTAAATTCAAAACTGAATATTTTTTTAATAGCTTCTGATTCCTCTTTTCCCACCACTCTAGAAAAGTTTAGGCCTTCAACTCTCAGCTCCAATTTAGTTATAAAGTCAATTATGCCAGCAAGAATATCAATCACTTTACATACATATGAATGTTATACTTAAAGATTTCCCAATTCCCAAGACTGACACAGCGAGAAGCCTTCAGCGAACAATAAGTATAATTAAAGTGCTCATCTTTCCTTGGAGTATCTCCCAAGCTCCAAGCAAGTGCTGCAATATGTAACATCTACTCTGTGGTTATGATCTAAATGCACCAAAAAGTATGATTAACGTGCTCATCTGTCCTTGGAGTATCTCCTAAGCTCCAAGCAAGTGCTGCAATTCGTAACATCTAGTCTGTGGTTATGATCTAAATGTACCAAAAAAACAAAACCGTAAACATTTCTAAAAAGCTTCTGATTCCTGTATTCCAATCTCTCTAGAAAAGTCCAGCTCCAGTTTAGTCAAAAAATTAATTCCAATGTACCTACTCTATGGGCAAGTGAAAATTTACCTGAAGAATACCAAGCCGTTCAACGCAACGAGGTCGGAATTAAAACCATGGGCCAAAGTGTCCCATACGGTCGCTTGGAATAATGACCAGAATCTTAAAGATCCTATGGGTGACCCTAGCAGAAAGATGATGAGAAGTCTCCAAATTCGAGAATAGTAAGATAGGACCGTATTCTGATCAGACTCCTAGGATTACGAATACAACTATACATAATTCTACGAACAGATTCAGGCATTCGACATTCGAGCATGAGGAGATGACATATAAGATCATAGAACACTTCCTTTACCATTGCCAAACTTTCGTCGAAATAAAATCGAACACTTCATCTTATTAGATTCCTGTCCTTTTAGTGATTCCTGCTCCCTTTAGTGGTTCTTGGAATACTATTGTGAAGGATTGCTCTCCACCTTTAAGGATGTGTGTAAGGTATAATATTTAGACATTCCTCGTTAGTTTCCATGAACGAAAGAGTGACTTCGGTAGGTTAGTAGTAAATGTTTTAGTCTGTCGAATTTCCAACAGAGACACTGATAAAGGAGCACTATATGCCCGACGGAGACCTAGGTGAATTTCCTAGGATTTGCTTTAACATATATCCTCCTTTGAAACTAGTGGATGGAATTTAACTCCTAAACTTTTGGGCTTTACTTCCCTTAATTAACTCTACAGGAGCCCCGTATATGTTAACATCCTTGATTTCTGTTAGATTTCTCTTCCTAGGAGAAATTTCTTTCAGAAACTTTAAACAAATCAAACTCTTTCTTAAAAGTTAATTTTCTTTTAAAATTTTAGATTTTAAAACTTTCTTCATTATTTGTTTTAATCATTTTTATTATTGAAAATGCTCTTAGCATTTTAAAATCGTTTTCTTTTATTCCCAATTGGTAAAAATTTTCCTTTCTTTATATTTTACCTTGTTCTTTCATAATTTTTTCATACGTTTTTTATTTCTTCTTCTTCTTATTTTCTTACACACTTAGCACATGTTTTATTATGGCCTGTTCTTTGCTAACTGTTTGCATTTTAAATTTCCCTTGTTAAATTGTGATACATTTTTGTTATTTTTCTTTTGTTGATTTTCTGTGTCGCCTCCACCTCCCATCTCTTTTCCTTAACATTTCTTACACAAACTAAGTTTTAATGCCTTTTTTTTGGTACGTGTTTTGTGTAGTTTACTTTTGCTACTACTATTAAATGCTGCTGTGTAATATTATTGTTGTCATTTGTGTTTTGCGTATAAAAGAGAGTAGACAAAAAAAAACAGAATGTAGAAAATAATAACGGTTTAAAGATGACACCACCATCACCATATTATTATCCTTTTGTTTAATACCACAAACTAGACGACGACGAGGATGAGCAGCAGTTAAAGTGACTGATAGAAATTATTTGAAAAAAACAGCTAGATTATAGAGAACGAGAGAGAGGAGAGAGCAGCAAAGTGAGGGTGTAGAAAGTGAAGTAAAATATGAGAGACTAGCATTTCAAAAAAACATGGTTGCTTTAAAAAGTAGTAGCTTTTGTGGGTGGTGGGAAGGAAGCCTTTTTTCGGAGTTATTTTTATGCTTTTTTGCTTTACATATGGTCTGTCTGGTTTTATGAAAGCTTTCCTTTTTGAAGCCTTTATGTTTTTTCCTTCATTTTTTCATGTGGTGTATTTGTGTTAATTCCTTTTTAAAGGTATTTTATCATTGTTTGCTTATTGTTGTTTTTGCTGCTGTTGTGTTTTAGTATGCTCTCGTTGTAAACGTTGCTTTTTTCGAGTTCTTTTTCTTTCATTTTATTCATTCGTAATTTAACCTTCTGCCCTACTCTTAAGGAATGCGTCATCGATAAGTAAATGTTTTCCCCCAAAACATATAGAAGAATAAAGGAATTTTTTTTTAAAGTCCATCTTTTTAAAAATCTTTGAAATTAAATCAAATTCAAGAAAAATAAATTTTATTACAATAAAATATGTGTTCACCAATTGCTTATAATTCCGTTTAAGTTAACTAATTGTTGTTGTTATTATAATTATTTAAACATTATTTAGTACACACGCACTCTGTCAAGGTTATTTCCTGTTATTTGCCAATGAAATTTTTATGCTTAAAACTAAGTTTTTTAATAAAAATTTCCTTTTTATTAAAGAAAACTTAATAAAACTTAATTTAATTAAACCTTGGGCCAGTAATCGTTATAACCAATTAAATATTAAGTCTAGACTGTGTATCATTTTTCACATTTTTCTATAAATTTCAAAAGTTTTTCATTATAACTTTTTATACTTTATAAATTTTTTATAAATTTATTTAATTTAATGTTATTTCCAACACTTTTATTTTATTATTTCCAAGTTTTTTTTTTCTTTTTAATTTTTTCTTTTTACTCTTTTTCTTTCTATCATGATTTTTTCACATTTTTCCCGAGCTGTCAGTATTGTATACTATGTATCTATATGTATTTCAAAAAAAGGCTTAATATTGAGTTGTCGAAAAAAAAAATTACAAATTCACATTTTTTTTCTCCTTTAGCCTTCATCTCAATAGAAAATTTTCTATTTCATCTTCTAACAGCATTTTAAAACATTTTTATATATTCAATAATTAACCTTTTTATGTTGTTATTTATTTAAAAAATTCTTTAATTTTCCACTTTTTATATTCTGCCATTTTTTCTATATATTTTTTTTTTTTTTCACTCTCACATAAATTTTTCACTGTTTGATTAAGTAGCAAATTTACCGTTGTGGTATTTTTTCTTGTATATTATTCTTTTTTGGTTACAAATTTCAAGTCCTTACGTTAAGGCTCCACGTCTCCAACTACTTGCACAATTGTTAGGAATTGTAAGAAATCTTAATTCGTAATACCGAAAGCTTTTTAGTTGATTTTGAGTTCGGACTTGTGTGTTTTACCGAAGACACGTTTTTATGTTTGACTGTTAGGAGTGTATGGTGTGTTCGTGTGTGTATGTATGCGAGTGTTAATTGAGTGAGAAATTAATAGCGTTAGAGGTATTGAGGTGAAATTGTTAAACAACAATGTGGAAATTGAGTATTACTGTTACAATTATACACTTTAAGAAATAACTGTGAATAATCTAGATTCAGTTTTTAAAACATTGTAACCACAGGGAGAGGGAATCCCACTAGATCTCACCAGCATTCCTTTTACAAGCACTTTCCTCAAGTAATTGAGCTAGCTTTTCTCTAAACATTAATTTCCTCGGCTTCTTGCCCGGCCATCCTTAGATCATGTCATTCATTAAAGCTCTGCATAAACCTGATTAATTCTGTATACCAGTACTTTTCTTATCAATTCATTCCCAACATTTAGTCCTGTACAGCCAGCAACATACTTGTCCCATACATCAGTGGACAACAAATTAACAACAGACAATCGGCTCTCGTTGTACCAATGTGTATCGTTCTCTGATCAAACCCTGTGTCAAAGAAATGACTCTTACAAGTCTAATAACTCCTCCAGTTTATAGTTCTGACATGTATTGGGAGTGTTTGCACATCTTTACCCCAAAATTACAATAAATCCAAGGCGAGGGCGTTTCAGCAAGGTCACATGCTCTGGATATATAAATTTATTCAAAGTATTCTGGAAACTAATCAATTTTGCGTGCAAAAAAAAGCTGTTCTTTTTTGACCCAATCAATTTTGGATTCCCTGTTCTGAAGTCAAGGGTATACCAGAGGAATCGAAAAAATACTAGTTGTTAGGTTTTCCGCGCAAACAAGCTATTCTTTTTTAAGCCAACGGAACATCAAATCCGAAGAAATACGCCTAGGTCTCTATCAGTCCTGTTATGCGCTCCTTTATCAACGCCTCTGCTGGGAATCGAACCTACGGTATAGGTTTCCCTCCATTTGTCTATCCAGATATCAGCTCACAATAGATAGTACCCTCTTGGTACTTCCGAATACAATGCATATATCGTTTTTTAGTGAAAATCGTATTTTTAGTGAAAAATCTTATTTTTAGTGAAAAATCTTATTTTGAGTGAAAAATCTTATATTTAGTGAAAAATCTTATTTTTAGTGAAAAATATTATTTTTAGTGAAAAATATTATTTTTAGTGATAAATCGTATTTTTAGTGATAAATCGTATTTTTAGTGATAAATCGTTTTTTAGTGAAAAATCGTATTTTTAATGAAAAATCGTATTTTTAGTGAAAAATCGTATTTTTAGTGAAAAATCTTATTTTTAGTGAAAAATCTTATTTTTAGTGAAAAATCTTATTTTTATTGAAAAATCGTATTTTTAGTGAAAAATCGTATTTCTAGTGAAAAATCGTATTTCTAGTGAAACATTTTATTTTAGGTGAAAAATCGTATTTTTAGTGAAAAATCGTATTTTTAGTGAAAAACCAAATATTTAGTAAAAAATCGTATTTTTAGTTAACATCGTATTTTAGTAAAAAATTGTATTTTTACTAAAAATTTGAGTTTTTAGTGAAATTTTGGGTTTTTAGTGAAAAATCAGATAAAATTAGAATTTTTTGTGAAAAATTAAAAAATTTTTCACTCAAAAATCAAATTAATAATAATTTTTTTATGAGAAATTTAGGTTTTGCTGAAATATTTAACTTTATTTGTTTATAAATAATTCTTCAAAATTAATTATAAAATAACATTTATGTAAACTCATCCTCATTTTTAATTTAGAAAACAACACTTAAGCAAACTTACCCTTATCTTCAGCATTTCTTTATCTGACGGGCAACATTTTCTTCAAAAGTTATATCAGCCAATCTCCACAATTGTTAAAGTTGTCTTTAAAGATGCACAATAAAACGTCTCTTTTTCACCAAACGCACAAACATTAGTTCATCTTATTATATCTTTTAAGATTTTTTAATTTAATAATATATACATATATTTTTTTATTTTTCAACACTTGTTACTAAATTTCATTACATATTTTTAATCAGCTATTTATAACAATTTCTCTTAAGTTTCAATTAATTTTAAACATTTTTATTCACGCACCTGTTGCTTTAAAACTAGTTTAGCCTAACAGTTTGAAAAGCTTAGCTGTAAAGCTGATCATTTATTTCTATTTTTTAAGCTGTTGTCATCACAATTTTGTTACTCTTCTTTGTATGTATGTAACTTTTATCTAGCAAATTTTTCATCTTAAATTATAACAACTCGCTCTTATTTCATATTTATTTTATTCTTCAACTCTTAAATTTCACTACATTCAACATTTTTTCATTAATTTATTAAAATTTCATTTTATTTTAAATTATTTTACAGAGACACATATTAATTGTCGACATTATTCACGTACCACTGGTTTTAAAACTAGTTTTATATCACAGTTTGAAAAGCCTTACAAAAGCCGCTCTTTTGTTTACCTTTTTTTTATTGCACAACTCATCACATTTTTCTTAATCTTCTGCCTAGCTTTTTTTATTTTGCAAATTTTCGGTATTAAATCATAAATTTCCAATAATATTTCATATACATGTTATTTCTTAAGTATTAAATATCACTTTTTCACTATTTTTATTATTTATTTGTTAATATTTCACATTAATTTTAATAATTTTGCGGAGACACGAAATGTTTGTCGACTTTTTTCGCGTACCGGTGGTTTTTAAACTAGTTTTGCAAACAGTTGCAAAAGCCTTGTTTGAAATGTCATAATGATATGGGAGAGAGAAAAATTGGGCTGCTTTTCAAACTGTAATGTAAACTAGTTTTAAAACCAGTGGCACGCTTATGAAAATGTTTATTACTAAATTTTTGAGAAAATTAATTAAGGGAATTAAAGTGAAATTGTAATAAATTAATGAAAAAGTGAATTTTAATAATTGAAGCATAAAATATATATGAAATATCAAAGAGTTATTATATTATGCGGAAAATTAGGGTGAGTTTGTTAAAGTGTTGTTTTTTATTAAAATTTTACTTAACTAGGCTATAGACTAGATTATAGACTAGACTATAGACTAGACTATAGACTAGATTATAGACTAGACTATAGACTAGACTATAGACTAGACTATAGACTAGACTATAGACTAGACTATAGACTAGACTATAGACTAGACCAACGGTTCCCAAATGGGGGTCCGCGGACCCCTAGTGGTCCGTAGTAAAATCCTAGGGGGTCCGCGAAGACGAACGAAAAAAACCATGAATAAACAATATTCTGCTTTTATATGTATGTACAAATATATCCAATTTTTGTGCAATAATCCCAAATTTTTTGGTGACTTTTTGAATTTTATTTTTTCGGTTGTTTATCAGGAAGAAGCTAGTCCCTACAAATTTATTGTATAACTTTTATAAAGTAAAGTACTGCGTGATTTGTAATTTTTATTTCCTGTATATGTACTGAAATAATGGTTTTTATTTCAGACAAATAATACTCTGCCTTACAATTAAATTAGGGATACTGGTATTCCAGAGTATGAAGTTCAATTCAAATACAAGCTTATTACAGATTTAAGTTTATCAAATTGTAAGCAAAAGTGTTCTCGTTTGAAAGGACAACAATTATATATTTCCAAAACAGAGGTGACTCTTTATGCATCTCTTTATAAATATTACAATCCGACGTGATACACAGATTTTAACTTGATTTTGTCGACCAATACATATTATTAAATTAACATCAGAAAATCCATAGCGTTTCGAGTAAATATGTAGCCAAAAACCATGAAGTAAAATAATTCGTTGGTATTTTAAAATTCAAATTTAAGTTCCAAATTCACACTACTTTAACAAAGAGTTCAAATCATATATTATGCGGATAACGCATTCCGCAACAACATAGAAGAAGTCCAACTTTCTTATATTATTTTCCCGAAAACTTAGCTCACTTACTCAGTTCACCCTTTGCAATCGCAACAAATTTTTGAAACGTGACTCCTTAAGCACATGTGACAATATTTGATAAAGAAACCTTTCCGCTACCTTGAAGAAAAATGAACATGAAAGATCTCACGATCATAAAATTAAACATGATGTTAACATATCAACAAAGAAGTCATTCTATCTTCAAAACATGCAATTGAAAACCTATCTGAAATATTATATATTCTCAATGTACGGGAAAAAAATATGTATGGGGGTCCGCGAAATTAAATAAGCTCTTCAAGGGGTCCGCGAAGTAAAAATCTGTGGGAACCGCTGGACTAGACTATAGACTAGACTATAGACTAGACTATAGACTAGACTATAGACTAGACTATAGACTAGACTATAGACTAGACTATAGACTAGACTATAGAATAGACTATAGACTAGACTATAGACTAGACTATAGACTAGACTATAGACTAGACTATAGACTAGACTATAGACTAGACTATAGACTAGACTATAGACTAGACTATAGACTAGACTATAGACTAGACTATAGACTAGACTATAGACTAGACTATAGACTAGACTATAGACTAGACTATAGACTAGACTATAGACTAGACTATAGACTAGACTATAGACTAGACTATAGACTAGACTATAAGACTAGACTATAGACTAGACTATAGAACTAGACTATAGACTAGACTATAGACTAGACTATAGACTAGACTATAGACTAGACGATAGACTAGACTATAGACTAGACTATAGACTAGACTATAGACTAGACTATAGACTAGACTATAGACTAGACTATAGACTAGACTATAGACTAGACTATAGACTAGACTATAGACTAGACTATAGACTAGACTATAGACTAGACTATAACTAGACTATAGACTAGACTATAGACTAGACTATAGACTAGACTACTAGACCTAGACTATAGACTAGACTATAGACTAGACTATAGACTA